TGGTGTGCGATCTGTTTTGTGATATTTCCTATTTTTGGGATGTGATCTGTCTGGTGTCTGTAATCTGTTATGTAATCTGTCCGATATTTGCAATATGTTCTGCAATCTGCCCAATATCTGTGATCTGCTCTGCAATCTGTTCGATGGCCGCGATCTGTTTGATGTTTGTGATTTGTCTGATGTCTGCAATATATTTCGTGTGTTATCTATCTGCGTTTGACTCTGATTCCATTCATAGTGTCATTTTCGACTCTGGTGGAGAGTCATGTCGTTTTTTGCTCCGGTGGAGAGTCAACTGTTATTTTTATTTGTGTTTTTTGTATCTATATTTAACATTCTTATCAAATTCAAGTTGAGTTCTATCATACCACTTGGTTTTGAGGGGAAATGTTGAGATATTTTAGATATTCAGTTTTAGATTTAGTAGATTCATATTTAGATTTGGTTTTATCCATATATTATATTACTTAGATTTGGGTTTATGTTTTGTATTGCCTATTTATAGGCGCCTTATTTTGATGATCAATAAGATAATTTCTTTATTTTTCTCCAAAAATTCTAACAAGTGACAAATGTGAAATATATTTTGCCAGAGTAATAATTAAAAGACAAAATTGATAATTATCCAATATGAAGCTAAAAATTAGTTTACACTCCCCCGTCTCTATTCAAAGTTTCTTTTTTACCATTTTTGTTGTCTCACTTTAAAGTATCTTTTACATATTTTAGAATAAATAATTATAAACTAATACTAAAATACTCTTAATTTTTATTTAAATTACAAACATACCATTATATATAAAATTATTTTGTACATAAAGTCAAAGAGTAAAAATGTCAAAAACTCTTACACAATTTTACTAACTAATAAAATACTATTATTTCTTAATCTACTACAAAATTCCAAAATGCCACTAAAATACCCTTAATTTTTATTTAAATTACAAATATACCATTACATATAAAATTATTTTGTACATAAAGTCAAAGAGCAAAAATGTCAAAAACTTTTACACAATTTTACTAACTAATAAAATACTATTATTTCTTAATCTACTGCAAAATTCCAAAATGCCAATTTGATTTGGGACAAAGAGAGTATTTTTTTTTAGCATTTTGCTTTTTAGGGTTCTAAACAAACATTGGGCTAACAAAAAATTTTGATTGTTGGTTAGTATGTTCGTTTCAAATGAATAATGCGAATTTTGTTCAAGTTTTTGTCTAAAAAATTATTTATATTTATTTTAGTGTTTACGGTTTTTAGAGTCCAAAATGACTTTGGATTGATAAGAATATATTGTTGGTTGGTTCGTTTGGTCGTTCGGGATGAACCATGCAATTTTTGTCTAATTGAGTTTCGGATGAACCATGAAAAATGGGTTTACGTTTAGTTTGGTCGTTTCGGATGAAGCGTGCAACTCCCGTTCAATTTTTAGACTCTAAAAATGAGTTTACGTTATTTTGTCTATAGGGTTTTTAAGGTTGTAAACGATCTCGGATGGATAAGATAATATCGCCGGTTGGTTCGTCATGTCATTTCAGATTAACTTACGAATTTCTTCCAGTTTCAAGTCTAAAAATAGTTTTATGTTTTTTTAGTATCTAGGATTTATAAGGCCCTAAATGACATCGGATGATTAAAACAATATTATTGGTTGGTTTGTTTGGTCGTTTCGGATTAACCGTGCAAGTTTTATGTAATTATAAGTATGAAAATACGTGTATAAATTTTTAGCATTAAGAATTTTTTGGGTCCTAAATAACCTCATATGAACAAAATAATATCGTTGGTTAGTTCGTTTGGTCGTTTCAAATTAACCATGCGTGTTTTGTGTAATTCTGAATTTAAAAATAGCTGTACATTTTTTTTTGGTGTTTGGGGTTTTTGGGGCCCTAATGACCTTGATGGACAAAACACTATCGTTGGTTGGTTTATTTAATCATTTCGGATGAACCTTGTGAATTTTCTTAAATTCTAAGTCGAGAAATGGATTTACGTTTTTCTTAGGCATTTTAGGGTCATAAACAAACAATTATCACTTTTGTCTTTTAATTGTCACTTTGGCAAAATTTATTTGATATGTTTTATTTTTTCGTAATTTTCGTCCTTCATAGCACAAGTTCATTCTGCACGCATGAGATTATATCCATCGTGAACTTGACGTGTAGCCAAACGATGAGAATCTCAAAAAGATATCACTCGTGCAATATAGTTATCCAAGATGACAATTGAAAGTGATAATTAACCATAACTACAAAATATTTATTACAATTTTTCCGTTTTTTTATATCGTTTATATATTTTTTTATATCTTACAATATATTAATATTTTTGTAGTGTTAATACATTTATTTATATTAATTTTAATTTTTTTAATATAGAAAAAAAATATTTGTTGATACCATTTGAAATATTTTTTAAGAAATATTTTAAAAATAAATATTATAATTATATAAAAATTTTAAGTGATGATATAAATATAAAATATTATACCTTCCCTCTATTTTAAGGGTGTGTTTGGTACATAAAAATGAGGCTAGAGAAATATAAATGGTTTCATTTCTCTTGTTTGTTTGATTTAGAAAAATAAATTATTTTTATTTATCTGTTTTCATTTATCTCCTATATGCAGAGAAACTGAGAGAAATGATGTTACATATATATATTTTTTAGTTTTGTTTATCTTTTTTGTAATATTTAATTTTTATGTTTTTTTAAAATTATATTATTTTAATTTTACAAAAATCAAATTTAATTTATTGTTACAGTATTTAATTTTTACGATTTCTTAAGAAATTGTACTAAAATATAATTATAAAAAACATAGTATATAATATATAATATTTTTTTTAAAAAAAAAAGTAATCAAAAATATTTTTCATAAATTTTCGTTCGTTAAAAAACTTTTTTTTATCCCGTTAATCATTTTTTCTTATTTGATCCATTTATATAGCTTCATTTGTTTTACATTTCTCAATTAAATTATATATTTTACCAAATAAAAGAATTAATTTTCATTCTCTACTCAATCTCTCTGTACTACATGCCACCTAATTGTCGAATTTTTTTTAGAAACAAAAATTTAGATAAGAGTATAGTTAATAAATAATTAAAAAATATATTAATGAAAATTATCAATATATAATATAAATAATTATATATTAAAATAAAAATAATTAATTAATTTAATTAAAATTAATAAAATTATAAGTAATAAAATTTAATATATAATTAAAATATATAATTATTTTTTTTAAAAATAAATATTAATATAAAACAGATAAAAATAAAAAAAATATAAATAAATTATATAGAACCGAAGGAGTACAGTATAACTTTACAAATAATTGCTATACATCGTACGGATTCTTTCGCTACGACTTTTTGAAAAATGAAATTATTGTTTCTAGAAGCAGAAATAAATGCCCGCATATACCCACCCTCTGGTCTGCACCAACCACATGCAGCAACCATGCACTACTTCTTATCCTCATCCTAACCTAATTTTCAATTTGTGTCAACTTTTACTTTTTCTTTTTTTTTTTTTTTTTTATTATTTATTATTATTACTATATCATCATCATAATTACATCCAACACTTGATATTTTTATATATAATATCTTTAATCATTATTTTATCTAGAAATATATCAAAAGTTAAAATAAAAATTTCAAAAAATTGCTTTAAAGTATTACTCCCTCCGTCCCATAATAAAATATCTATTTTTTCATTTTAGTCTATTCCATAACAAAGTATCCATTTCTTTTTTTTAGTAATCGTACTATCTACCTAACATTATAAATACCCTTACAACTTACAATATATTACACAAATGTCATTATCTTTATATCACACGTACTAATAAAATTATTTTAGTTATTTTTACTTTATTCATATTATATCTCAATATAATATTAATGTTTCTAAAATTACGTGCAAAAAGTAAATGGATATTTAATTTCGAGACGGATGAAGTATATCTATAAATATTATACTTAAAAAGTACCAAAATTGAAAAATAAAATTAAAAAAAAAATAAAAATGTATTATTATTATTATTACTATATCATCATCATAATTACATCCAACACTTGATATTTTTATAAAGAGTCTTTAATGATTATTTTATCTAGAAATATATCAAAAGTTAAAATAAAAATTTCAAAAAATTTCTTTAAAGTATTATATCTATAAATATTATACTTAAAAAGTACCAAAATTGGAAAATAAAATAAAATAAAAATAGCAACAGAACACATCTTTGTATTTTTTTTTCAATTTAAAATATTATTTTTATGATTTTCATTTTCATTCGTCTCAAAAGTATAATTTTTTTATTATTTTAATAAAAATAATTATACACTGATACCAAAATACTTTTAAATTTTACTTAAATTACAAATATATCATTACGTATATAATTATTTTATACATAAAGTAAAAAAGACAAAAATATCAAAATCTCTTACATACTGTCCAATAATTAATAAAATAACATATTATTTTTTAATTTACTACAAATCTTCAAAAGAAATACATTCCAAAAGGAAGGGAAGGAGTATTATTATTAATTTTTTTTTTTAAAAAAACTTTTTATATGTTTCTTGATTTATATTACTAAAAATATAATATATACACACAATCCTACAATATATAATATATTTAAATATTTTATCTATTTACAAAATATTTAAGTATTAGTTTAAATAATATTTTAACATATGATATTTTTATAAAATAAAATAATATATTTTTATTAAAAATCCTACAAAATAAATAATAATTTTTTTTTATAATAGAAAACAAAAACACCCATAAATTTTCGATATTATCATTAACACAAAAAAATACAAAATGAACACCTCTTGTTTTCTCCACAACATTTATATATATATATATATATATATATATTAATTATTAATTATTAATTAAAAAAAAAAAAACTCACAGAAAAGGACCCATAAATTGTGTGGATGGCACCCATTTCTTTTCACTACCCTTATAAAAACAAACAAGCTCATTTTCATACCATTTTGGTTTTTCTTTCCCTTTATTCAAACTTAGACTAAAAACTCCAAATAAATGTCTCAACCAATAGAGCTTGTGTTCATCCCCTCGCCGGGGCTGAGCCACGTCATCTCCACCGTCGAGGCCGCCAAGCTCCTCCTCGCCCGCGGCGGCGATCGCCTCACCGTCACTGTCGTCATCGTCAGTCTCCCCGACGACGAAAATGATAAAAAAGAGAAGATGTTGTCCGATGTCAAAGCAACAATCCCACGCCTTCGATTCATCGACTTGCCTTATGACCATAATGCCCCTGGTGCAGAATCCCCGGCCTTTCGATTCACTTATATCCTTAGTTGTGGCGACAAAATCAAGCAATTATTGTCGGATTTGATCGAGAAGCCATCCGTCCCCGGCTCCCGGCTAGTCGGGCTTGTGCTCGATATGTTTTGCACGAATTTAATTCAGGTTAGTATATGACGAAAACTTTTTAAGTCCGTACAAGTAAAAATTAAGTTATTATATTTTGTTTGATTGTGGTATGAAATTGATTTGAAATAAACTGATGATTTAAATTTTTTGTTTAAATAATATTTTTTATATAATATTTTACAAAGAGAAAATAATTTATTTTTATTGAAATCTGTACATGATAGGTTTAAAATCACAAAAGAGTAAATCCTTAGATTTTTGTCAATTTTCTAAATATATTTGTTCATATATTCAGAAAGTTGTACATATGCATCACAAAAGAATAAACTTTGGAAATGTGTATTTTTAGTAAGCTCAAAATTTTTAGGGATAGAGATTTAAGAAAATATTATTTTTTTTAGTAAGCTCAAAATTTTTAGGGATAGAGATTTAAGAAAATATTATTTTTTTTTTATAAAGAGTAAATTTAAAAATTTTATAGAGTTCGTAATATAAATTTTGAATTAAAGTAGAATGTGTAGGATTCATATGGTTTGTAAAGAGATAGAAAATAGTAAGTAAATAATTTTTATTTTTTTTTTAAAAAAAATATATATACTTGTTTTAATAAATATAATATGATCATAGTCAATATAAATCAAAGAATGAGACATTTTCTATTTGAGAATTATGACACGGGTTCAATTTTGAATGGATGCTTACGTGGGTGAAACAATCTATAGTCTATTTAAAAGTGTACTCGGTCGGTCTGTTGGACTATTTTTTATCATTTTCGTCTGTCGTATTTCAAAGTATTCTTTTTTTATTTTAATAAAAATAATCATACATTAATAAAAAAATACCTATAATTTTTATCTAAATTATAAATATATTATTACACATACAATTACTTAATTTACTACAAAACTCCAAAGGGCTCATTTGGACCAAGAGGGAAGGAGTATCATTTTTCTCATATTAAGAGAATTGAAAATATTTTCAAGAGAATTGTGAGAAATAAAGTCCAAATCAAAATCTAAAAATTAAATATTTAAAATATTTTAATAGGAATAAACATTATTTTACCATAATAATTAATAATAAAATTTTTTATTTCCTTCGTCCAAACTCAAAATATCATTTTTGTTTGTTACATTTCAAAAGTATTTATTTTTTGTTTTAATAAAAATAAAGATGCATTAATACTAAAATATTTTTAATTTTTATTTAAAATATAAATATATCATTACAAATACAATTATTACATATATAAAGTTAAAAGAACAAAAATATAAAAGGAGGGAGCACTGTTTATTTAAAATATTGAAATAATGCAACAATTGGCTTTTGAATAAAACAAATCATGTGAGATAGTTGTAAAGGATTTTTTATCGGTGCATATGGGAAATGAGAGGGACATATTGGCCGGGTTTGACCCTTTTGGTCTGGTTTTTATTATTTATAAAAAGTAAAAATAAAATAAATATTTAATCTTTTATATTAGATTAAAATAAATTTTATAATTAAAATATTAATTCAATATCTCTTTATATAATATTGTACAACATTGAATAAATTATTTTTCTAGTTTTTTCAGTTCGGTAATAGGATATTTTTATTATTTTAGTTTTATAACTTTAGTATGTCTGTGTTAAAATAGTTCTGTAACTAAAAAAGTTTTGCATTTTAGTTTTTCTGCGCCGGAAATGCCTACGTGACAACTTGGTGGACACTTGAATAATTTATATATTTTTTTATTTATTTTTAAAAATTAAAAAGTTTAAAAGTTTAAAAAATTAATTTAAAAAAAACATAAAATAAAATTTAAAAATATAAAACATAAAATTTTAAATTAAACTAAAAAAATTATAATAAAATAAAATAAAATAAAATTTAATTTATTAATTTATTATTTTTTATATTTTTAAATTATATTTTATATTTTATTTTATTATTTATTTTTACTTTTTTAATTTTAAAATATTATTATCATATTTTAAAATTTTATTTTTTTATATTTATTATTTTTAAAAATAAAATAAAAATAAAAATTATCCACGTATCCGTCATGTTGCACTGACTTTGCGAACACGTGTCTTCCGGTATGCCACACAAGCAACTCCGGCACCGAAAGATAAAAGTGCAAAATGTTTTTACTTGCAAGGCTATTTTAAAACAATCTCCATTACAGAACTAAAATAATAAAATTGTTCAATTACGAGACTAAAAATTAATTAAAAATTATAATATTCAAAACTCTATGCCCAACTCTAATATTTACTGCCAAACGAAAGTGTGTTGTTCCCTTTATATACTTTATTTGTGGTATGCTTTTGCACTGTTTTGTTTTTATGTTGTCTTTAAATATAAAAACATAGCACATATTTTTATTTTATAAAATACAAGTGTTATTTGAATCTTTAATTTATGTCTTTTTGAAAAATCAATATAGTGGAGATGTAAGAAATCTTTTTCCTAGGATAGCCACGACACTCTAAAAAAATACTATATTAGTAACGGAATTCTGTCTTTAAAGTTCACGTAGTTAACGTAATTTCATCTCTAATTTCGTTTCTAATGTCATTAGTAATGAAAAAAGTTAATTTAGAGATGAAAAAACTTTGTTACAAAATTGATATTTTTTTGTTGTGCGAGTGCAACAAAACACTATAATTCTCACATAGGAAGTTAGTACGTTAGTTCAACAAATGAATCAGAATGATGATAAGGAACTAAAATCAGTGCTATAATATAACAAAATATCTGCCGGCTTAGATCACAACCCATTTCGCATCAATTCCAAGCCTTCCAATATTGCCGACACCACAAATGGGAAATCGAAATCGAGGGTTTCAACATCAAGAATCCGTAATCCTACAAAGAACAAAGAAGAACACAAAATTCAGGAAGAAGGGGATCCGGCAGAACACCGGCAAACACAAAGTAAGGAAAACGCAAAGCATAATACAAAGGATCGGCGGCACCAAGCAACTAATCTTTCCTCTCGGCTTACTCCCTTCCAATCCCATGTCTCACATACATATTTATAGGCAACCAAGAAACCAGATAAAACCCCCAAAACAGCAACCAATTTACCGATGAACCACCAAGGGAGAAGGGATAAAGTGCGAGATGGAAGGCCTCCAATTTTTGATTTGCGTCGTTGTTGGAACAGAAGGAGAAGAATAGAGAATTTGGTTTTGTTCGGTGCGGATGAGAGAAGAGAGAATGATGATTCAATTTAAGGATCAAACCGGGTCAAGTATGTATGAATCGGGTTGGTTTGGGAAGGGTTGGATCGGATCGGTTCGGACCTGAAATAAAACCCAACAATCTCCCCCTTATTTCTGGTTGACCATCATGATTGCATTGGAGAGCATAACAAGAGTGGAGAACATATTGATATCATCACCTTTTTATATGTGCAACTTATCACAAAGTTATAACACACAAAGCATATAAGAAACACAAACTAAACATATATGCGAACACATTTAAGCAACACAAAGTTGTAGCATATCAATAAACAACACAAAGTTGTAACATACTACTAAACAACACCAAGTTATAGTATATCCATATATTTCTAAGGTTAGCACATAACCACACAATCAAACTTTAAAATACAACATAACCAATACCATCAAGAGCATGCGATATAGAGTTACTAATTGGAAACAAATTTTTCAAGAGAAATATCATGTAACAACTAAGTTTCCCACACAGGGTCAATAGTAGCCAAACTATTTCATACCCATAAACACATTACCCACTACCTCATTCTCTTTTGCCACATTCGCATCATCACATTGTTGGTTTCTAAAATTTTCTTTTAGATGCGGAGATTGATTTATAAAATAATTCTTATTCTCACAATTATAGAACTTTCTATTATTACCTTTTCATTTATCCTTATTCTTTTGATTCTCAAAATCTTATGAATTACGAGACTTACCCATAACTAACAAGACCTCATCAATTGCTTGTTTTTCTTATTCATTAACCTGAAACTCTAATTCTTTACTCTTTAATCAACTCATAATTGTTTCAAGAGTTATACTATCTCTACTATGCTTAATAGCATATTTGACATCAGAAAAATATTCAGGAATGAAATTCAAGAGCACAATAAAGGTGTATTCATCAATATTCTTGTCTCATGTTTGTTTAATATCTTGAACAAGTTTAGTAAAAACATCAAAATTCTCATCTATTGATTTCGTTAATTCAAGTTTGAATATGAAGAACTTTTCAAGTAGAAACAATTTATTCGGCAAAAACCTTTCCATATAGATTTCTTCTAATGTTTTTCAAAGTTCTTTTTGCAAAATTTTGCTTTCCTACTTTTCTAATCACAATGTCAGATAAATTCAATATTATCAACGAATATATATTTTCATCTAACTCAACCTTTTTATCTTAAGTCAACAAACGATTAAAGTCACCATCAATGGCTTTGGCAACCTTTCGTGTTAGTAAGATACTTTTCATCTTTTGTTATAAAATTGAAAAATCAATTTTGCCGTCAAAAGTTGCAATAGAAACAATTGTCATAATGCCCAATTATCCTCACAAAGTTCACACAATTGCCGTACAAGAATGTCACACAATTCACTAGCTATCAGTCGAGTCAGTTACTAATTCGCTTTGGAGTAGCCAGTTACGTGATAGTAGTGTCAACCAATCACATAAAATATTCAAAGAATATTGATATTATATTGGTAGTGGGTAAAAAGTATGGATAAAAGACTTTTTTGTCCTTATGAATGTATTAGTGTAAAAAGTAATGATAATTGTGTAATAAAAATGAAAAAGTAGGGGTAGTTTTATGGTAATATGGTTATTTATGAAGATAAGATTATTTTTTTAGAATGGACAAAAATGGTAAAAAAGACTATTGTATTGGGACGGAGGGAATAGTATATAATATGAATATCATTTTGTAGAGAATAAAATTTTATATAATACAAGTAAATAAAAAAAAATATTTATTTATTTATTTATCATTACAATAATTTAATTTTATAAAAAAATAAAAAATTTTAAAGGTAAATAAAAATATTTGTTAATCGAGGTTATAAATTTAATAAATTTAATTATATTTGTTAAATGTTCAATATTGTTAAATTTACTTTAAAAAAAATAGAAATATGTATATGTATTTTTTTTTTAAAAAAAATTTGCTTACGTTTTCTTTCCTTCTATTGCACAGGTGGGTAATGAATTGAGCATTCCTTCGTACGTGTTCTACACGGCTGGAGCATTCAGTCTTGGCGTGTACTACGACATCGTTTCACTCAAATTCGAACAAAATCAGGACCTGACACAATACAAAGATTCCGACACTAAACAACTCTCCTCGCGATGTGCCTCTCAGCCTATTCCCGCCAAAATATTTCCTCTGGTGTTCGTCGACGGCAACCCTTTCGGAGACATCTTCCTCGAATTCTACCGAAAATTTGTCGACGCCAAAGGAGTTCTCATCAACACCTTCTACGAACTCGAACCCTACGCCGTCGATTCTCTGTCCGCTCATTACAAAAACTATCCAAAGGTTTACCCGATCGGACCGGTGTTGAAGGACAATCCTGGCTCTAGCGGCAATCCGTCGGTAGCCGATTTGATGAAGTGGCTGGACGATCAGCCGGACGATTCGGTGGTGTTTCTGTGCTTCGGGTCGATGGGGGCATTAGAAGGAGCTCAGGTTCGGGAATTCGCCAAGGCTCTAGAAGGTTCCGGAAGTAGGTTCGTGTGGTCGTTGCGGAAGCCGACGGCGTCGTTTCTTCCGAGCGAGTACGGAGACTACGGGGAGGTTCTTCCGGAGGGGTTTTTGGAGCGGACGGCGGGAAGAGGGCGGGTGATCGGGTGGGCCCCGCAGGTGGCGGTGTTGGCGCACGCGGCGGTCGGGGGATTCGTGTCGCACTGCGGGTGGAACTCGGTGCTGGAGAGCGTCTGGCAGGGTGTTCCGGTGGCGGCGCTGCCGCTGTACGCGGAGCAGCAGATAAATGCGTTCGAGCTGGTGAGGGAGTTGGGGATGACGGAGGAGATCAAGATTGATTATAGAATAGATTTGACTCGTGGGGGGGCGGCGGAGGAGATTGTACCGGCGGGGGAAATCGAGGCGGCGATCCGGCGGTTGATGGCCGCGGACGGCGGCGCGAGGGGGAAAGTGAAGGAGATGCAGAGGAAGAGTCGAGAGGTTTTGAAGGAAGACGGGTCGTCGTACGCGTCGCAAATGGAGTTCCTCCAAGATGTGTTGAAAAATGCTGGATTGGAATAGTGCTGGCTTCGCCGCTGGTCGGAATCTTGTGATATTTATGATGGTTTGGTTGTGCCAGATACCAATGTTAGTATGTATCTTTGGATGAGTTTGGAAAAAAATTGATTTGATTTTGGTATTTTAATAATGTTTGATAAGATATTTTGTGAGAAAAAAATATATATATTTTTTAAAAAATGTAGAGTTCAAATAGTAAAATTTTAAAAAAATTTACTAAAAAAACAGACCTATAGTGTTAAAAATTCAAAATATTTTTTAATTTTTACATAAATTATAAATATAACATTATACGTATAATTAATCTATATATAAAATACAAATAACAAAAATATTAACATCATCTTACCACTTATATTAATTGATAAAATATTAATATATTTTTACTTTAATACAAAACTCGATAAAGTATCTTTCAATTTAGACGGATGGAGTACAATCAAATGTGCATTTTAATATAACACACATCAACTCAATAAGAAAGTCTATTTGAGAGTAAAATATAAGCAATTATATACTCCCTCCGTCCATTTACAAGAGTTATATTTACTTTTGGCGCGGTGTTTAAGAAATAATAGTATTTTAATTATAGTGAATAATTAAAAGTAATATAATGACATTTTTGCCCTTACTTTTTTGTGTAAAAGTAATGATGTGATGTAAGGGTATTTGTGAAAAAAAGTAGGGTATTTAATGAAATGTAAATTTTATAATTGGACGTCCTAAAATAGAAACATGTAAACTTTGTAAGCGGACGGAGGGAGTATTTTTTTCCAGTGAGGTTATAACATTTCTATGATTTTGATCTTACTCTCATAATAAATTTATTTTGTTATAATACAAAATCTAAGAGTAATGCAAAACATATCTATGACCCAATAATAAATTTGTTTTGTTATAATACAAAAATCTAAGAGCAATACAAAACATGTCTATGACCCACAAAACAGATTTTTGTATAAATATTAAACATCATCTGGAATTTAAGGTTATTTATAGAAATTAACAATCCTTGCTCCTATAGTGAATACTATTGCTCTTGGCCAAATATTTTAGATATTTGGTTTTAGATTTAGTAGATTTATATTTAGATTTGGTTTTATCCATAAATTAGATTATTTATATTTGAGTCTATCGAGTCTCTATATTATGTCTATTTATAGGTCTCTATTTTCGTTATGTATAATAATGCAATTTTTTAGTTATATTATAATTTATTTCCCAGACGATATCAGAGCCTACTTTTCTCCTGTCATAAATATTGTCTATCAACTAGCGTTTCTCCGGGTACATTTAACTTGAAATGCACCTGGAAGTTTTTCAATTTTGAGATTTTGACCATGTTTTTCGGTCTTTTCCATTTTCGTTTCTGATTTTAATTTGTTAACGGTCACTTACAAGTTAAAGTGAAACCCACATCATTCATGCACTTTTTGTAATTTTTTAATATTTCTCTAGAGTTGTTATAAGTTTCTCCAAATTATTGGCTTCATTTTCATAAATCAAATGATCATTATTTGTCATAATCATTTTCACATTTAATTGGATATTCTCAAGCAGATTGTATACCTTCTTTAATGACTCTTTTTCTAAATGAAAGATCTTATAATTGTTTCCACCAAAGTTGGCTATTATCTTCGTAATACATTCTTACAAACTTAGGGATATTGAATTTAGTGTTATATGTGTAATAGTTTTTATATTGATTTGTACACTAAATTTAGTAATTATCCATTGTTGTATTCGGATTTTAATTTTGTAAATATTCCAATACCTGAAACCGTTCAAATTATGTCTGGGTCAAAAGTTTATCAAATAAAAGTTGAATCCATGCTTGCAGACATTTGTTGGGGACTCCCGTTTGCGGATATATGATTAATAGTTGCATTTCTGTACTAGTTCGAACTTTTAGGTGAGACGATCATTCTGCATTCGACAAACATCATCTTTAAAATCTAGATCAAAATTGTAGATATATGGCTCTATGTTATCATGCTGAATAAAAATATCTTTATTCCGATCACTTAGCCAATTCTCTCTTATTCTTGGTATCAGCTATAGTATAGCCACCAATAAATATTCCACCAATAAATATTACACACATAATTGTTAATTAGGATACTTACTTCTGTTATAATTAACTTGATGATGATATGATATGTGAGTTTAAAATATTATATTTATGAGAGTGTGCAATAAAACTACATTATCGGATAAAAGTCTCTTTGTGACTTCCTTCGTGATTGATTCTAATAATTTTGTAATCATTGTTTGCTATTGTAGTATTGAAATTTCTCTTTGTTGGAACCTTTTCAGTAAAATAAAAATATCTATTTTCTCATTGAATATTCATTATATATTGATAACATACATAGATTTAGCCACTACACATAAATATATTACATTACTAATTAATTGTTTATTCTGACATGTCTTATATGGCTCTATTTTGTCACTCCATGTTGTTGCATATATTTCTTCAGCACTCCATTCAGATTTTGGATTTGGGATGATGGTTCAAGGGTTTGTGGATCTCTCCAGGCACTACTTTAGTGGGTTTTGTCCAAACAGTCTCAATAGCATCCCATGCATCTTTACCAAGCATCATAAAAAAAAGCTACTATTCAAGTCTTCCAATAGCGGCATTTCCATCTGTTGGATCCTGAAATTCGGAGGTTCCAAGAATGTTCGTCGATTTGTCGGTGTGGGTTTCGGAAGTAATCCAGAGAGCCTGTCCGTCATCGGATTGGAGGCGGCTCCTACGATGGAGCCTGCACAACTTCGATCATCCACGAGGCTTCGAGCCTAAACAACCGATTTCGATGGATTTAAACTAACATCTACTAAAACTCGGATAAATCTACTGAAAAGCGGATAAAAATATGTAATTCGAATTAAAATGTATAAAACGAAAATAAAACATGAAAGAAAAGTAGAAAAATAGACGAATTGTTCTGTTGTGCGTGTTTGTGTTGTGTTTCTTTTTCCTACTTGTAATCCTAAGCTAGAATAACCACTTCTCCCACTATAGAGGCGGTTACAATTATTTCTCCACCACTCTCAACCACTTGGTAACCTCCCACTGCTACCTCCAACTTCCTGGTAACCTCCCACTACTACCTCCAACTTCCAAATCACCTTGTTCCACTACCTCCTAACCACATCGTAACCCCCTTCCATCAGCTCCCTGGTAACCTCATTTCATAAGCTCCTAACCACCTAGTAACCTTCTTCCATCAGCTCCCAGCCGCTTCCATTGCCTCTAGACCGGGTTCCACTTGCTCTGAACTTCTTTCATTGCCTCTGAACCAGATATATTGTTTACTCCGACTTGTTTCCATCGTACTCCTAGTGGGTCCACGGGGATGTATCCCCAACAGCCTTGATTTAAATGGAATCTTCGGGTTTCCTCTTACTGGTTTGTTCCATGGAGCTTTTTGAATAAAGCATGAGAGTGCATAGGTCTTCCACTAATGTTAAGTATGAAAATATTAACCCAGGGCCAACGGAGGTAGTTATCCCATGATCTGTGGAAGCTGTTGCTTTCTATCTTGTGGAGGCAACCTTCCTCTGCTTTCGGCCCTGTGGAAGCACCACAATCTAATGGAAACTGTTGCCTTCGGTTCTGTGGAAGCAGCAGTCTTTGGCTCCGAGGCTTGAAGCTCCATTGCTGTTGAGCGGTTCCGTGGCCAATGAGCTCTGGCACCACTTTTGTCTTTGAGCCTCCTTCTCGTTCAGGTGCTTTTGGACCCATGTCCAACACCATCGAAAAATGGTGGATGGCTTGTGGAACCTCCTTTTTAATTTGTTTTCAACCACGAATAGATCTACTAGGGGCTATTGAGCACTTGTCTATGATACTAGACGTTGGGAAATTAAAAGTGTGGGCTGCAACACGTACATGTAAGAGGCTAACTCATGCGACTTCAATGACAGTTGAAATAGGAAACCATAAAGTGTTTGCACTTTGAAAAATATGTGGTATTGTTCGGTGGTTATAACGCTTGTATGTGTCAGTGATACTTTCCTATAGCTAGCTAGTATCAAACAAAAAACAAACATCACAAAAGATTGTTAACCCAGTTTGGTATACCTACCTACATATGAGAGATTTCAATACAGGAGATGTCCACTAAATCTATCACCAATGACTCAACAAACAAAGAACCATAACTATCATCTCCTATAGTCTTCTTAACATCTCAATATTCAAGAAACTAGAAATTAACCATGAGAGTAAGTGGGTACAGGTTGATCTTTTTCTCGTATTGGAAATCTATTTCCTCATTCTTCATATGAGCTTCAAATAACCATGAGAGCTTAAATTCTTGTTCAGATCAAAGAGTGGTGAAAATTAAAAGATGGAGAAAAAACACACATTTTCTCTCACTAGATTCAAATATTATTTTTCACATTTCTCACAACACCGTCTTATGGTATGCTATACAAACAAACACACTGCCTCTCTGTAGTGTTTGACTAGCTAATTAGGGTATTAAATGCACCACCGTTTACCTGCAACTCGTGTTTTTTTGTCCTCAACGTTTTGACAATCCATGTCCAAACAAAACATGTGCAAAAGAGACACAAATAGACCATACAAAAGGTCTTTGGTATCAGTCTGCAACATTCTATTTTTGTGTCATTTTCTAGTTCCGACACTCTGAAAAGTTAGCGTAACATATGCCAAAACAAACTAAGGTACTTTTGTAACAACATCTACTACATATATAAGGTGATTTTAGTGGGAAAATTTTGTTTATTAATAAACGAAAACTTTTTTTTTTGTTACTATTTTTTTTTTCTTTGTGATAGAGAAGGTAAGAGAAAAATAATTGACTTTATTTATTTTTATTCCAATTGTTTGGTGGAAAATAAAATAAGCTAATGGATTTTTATTTTATAGAAATTTCAACTGTGTGTTTACATTGTTGTTGTGTTTCCGAATGTTTTTTTAATTATTCTTTTGAGCCGTTGGTGTTTATTGTGTATTGATGTTGGAAAATAATAGAAAAAATATGGAAGCCTCGGAAAGTTTGAACTCACGATCTCACGATCAGAAACTAGTTTATCCTCAAATTATCGTGTCATCTTTTATTGGACTTGTTACTATTTGGATTT